TTTTTTTTTTTTAAATAGCGCCCTCTATAGGCTGTGCTCCGTATTTCAGGTGTTTATAGATTTCCAGCCTTTTCCTTCTGACCGGTTGTGCGTTTTTCCAGACACCGGGGCATCGCTCCGTTTTGGGGCCCACTCAGCTTACAAAATGAACCTAAAGTATCCTTTTAGCTGAAGACGGCGCCTCCAGTGGTTTCCTGTGGTTAAAGCAAAGTTTTTTATCCAGCTGATCTTCCTCAAACATGTCTCCTCTTCAGCACGATGGAAATGTTGCTTTTAAATAAAAGTTGTAAGGATGAAATCATCACTTGGAGTCAGTGTGCAGAGCTGTTTTTGTTTGTTTTTATCGTTTAATGATAAAGTGAAGAATGATGTTAAAAACAAACTGAAGCATAAAAGCAGATGAAATTAAATCAGTAATGCTGTCAAACATTTTGGCCATGAGTACTTTTTTGGGTTTGGTTTGGTGCCGAGTAGAGTTGACTTGCAGCCGCATGCACCAATTAGAATCCAGGACTGATACATGCTGGCAGGAAACGCCTCAAACGCAGCACAAACGCAGCACAAACTTTAATGAATGTCTATTTAATCGTCATGGCAGAGTTGCAAAGAAAAACATTAAAAAACATCTTTCAAAGTAGCAGTCAGTCTTTAATAATAGTGAACGCTTCGTTCAAGTCAAATCCTTCACACGACAGCAAAATAAAACTGACCAATCAATTCAGAACAATTTCTATGGCAGGTTGAAGAGAAACCCTTAAAATACAACCAAGGATTTTATTTATTTATTTATTTATTTATTCTCCTTTCAGAAATGTTAACTACACAATTAAAGGTTTATACTGATCAAAACATACAGAGTGAAGTAGTTCCACTGGAGACAACTCAAACAAGATTAGTGTCTGATAGAAACATAACATTCATTTTACAATAAAAATATCTGCACAAAAACATCCCCCACCCCCCCCAAAAAAGGAAAAAAAAGTCTCAAGGAAAAAAGTGTTACGCAAAAAAATAAAATAAATGTTTGCTTTTCATCTTTTCAATACAGTCACAAATCACACAGCTGTGGCAACAAATCTCTTTAAAATTTACAGAAATGAAAGGTAAGGATAACCCCCGAACCCCTCCCACCCCCCCAGACTTGATTGTATTCATTTTTAAGCGCATATACTGCAATTACAACGGATTCCCGACTGAACGAAAGCTGCACATCAAATCTCAGATATCAAGACTATCAAAAAAGGCACGAACAGACAGGTCGCACAAAGAACTCAGCAGAAGCTTTTTTTTGTTTTATACAACTAATCCCAGTAAGATTTCCAGTGCCCTTAATGTTCTCGCGAAACCCCCCCGCCCCCCAAAAAAGGCTATCTACAGGCGAGTCAAGTCCCGGCAGGCACCTCGGATTACAAGTCCCATCCCAAGTACTGTAGAAGCAAGTGCATTTAATAATCGTGTGACAGACGGGTGTATGCAGCGAGCGTTGGGGCGCTGGGACAGACGAATCTCAGCGTCGTTTAATTTGAGTGCAAAAACTGTCCTTTCTGCATCAGAGTTTTGGTCGTGAACTATATTCTTTTAGTTAAATCTCTGCAAACTGAACCAAAAATAGTCTTTTTTCAGATGTTAGCAAAGAGGGAAATCTGATCTGAAAGATTAAAGTATACATTTACAAAACAAACTTATTTGTACAGGTCTGTGAGTTTACTGAAAGAGCACGCAGTTTTACCCTGATCACTGGCAAAATGTGTTCAGCTGGACCTTTTTTTTTAACTTTTGAAAGTCACAAAGTTTTAATCTCTTCTGTAAAGCAGGCAAAGTTTGAGGCGTCTCCTCTTTATGTAAATTTTTCTTCTTTTTCTCTGATGCTGATTTGTTTGATTTTGTTTTAAAAACTACAATAAAGTCTGTCTTGGGTGAAAAACGTGTTGAAAGGTACTTTTTCTCAGCTTCTTTGACTTCACGGTCAGAACCCCTTCCTATCGTGTTTATGCAATATCAGTAGAAACTGAACTGGGGCCAGCTGTACTGCCATCTGAGTTTATACCACAAGATGGCGCAATGAGTCAATGTAATGTTGATGAAACCAGGTGAGCTTAAGTGCCTCAGTCACACAGGCTTAGTGCATCCGCAGCTCATCAGGTTACGATTTTTGAGCGCTTGCTGTAAAGTCGACTGCTGAGTAAAGCTGTGGTAGAATGGTTGGTGAGAGGCTGCAGGAAGCTGCGTGCTGTTATTAAGTGAAAGTAGTTTCAGTTCTGCACCAAAGACCTTGTGACAGGCAAGTCCCGTAGTTTACAAGAAACATGCCGACTCGTCTGCAAACACCTGTGACAATGAGACCAAGTTACTAACTTACTCAGTGGCTGTTTTTTCAAAGTTTTGGCTGATTAGTCAGCATCTCCCTGACAAATTACAGGTGACTGCAGCGCCCTCTTTGCAGCTCTCAGCACCCCAGCCAGTAAAAACCGTCATCTAAACAGACTGACAGGAGGTCGCGAACCGGCCTCTAGGGAAAAGGGCTAAAACTAAATTTATGAGAAAAGGGGCACATATCTGAAATGATCTGAACACATCGATGGGTAACACTGCCCCCTAGTGGTAAAAGTTCATTAAACTCTGCAGAGGGTCACTGCAGAAAGTACCTTTAAAACTGCATCACTTCATTTACTACCTGAAGCTTGTGTCCATTCGTGGATTCTTATTTTTCTCAATTTGCCATCTTTGCTTCTCAATGAACTGTTCGCTCTAAAGACGACTCGGTCAGTTAGTGCAACGTTACATGTTCTTTCCAGAAAACTCAGCAGACCCAGAAAACATTTGCTTTCGTATTAAGTCAGCGCGTTAATCTCGAGTCTTAACGCTCGTTTCTGCCGACTTTCATTGGCGTAACATCACGTGGCTGCAGTGATGTTGACGTGTACTCGAGGGAGGTGTCAGTACGCCGTGACATCACAGTTGGGAGTGGTCAGAGGTGCAATGGGCTGGCTGGCTGACCGATTATGGCTTGAGTGCATCTCAGCAGAGCTCCGGCGTCCTGCCGTGGCTCCGCTCAGCTTCAGTCTAATGTCATTTAGGTCAGAACTAAAAAAGTAAAACTGAGGTTCTTTGGCTCTGTGATTTATTATCGACCAGAGCGGCTCCGCCCTCGGAGAGATCAACTTTAAAACGACTTAAACTTGGCTCGTCTCCTCAGAGAAACATAAAAGTCATGAGTTTACCTCTGCGACTGACCACATGCAGGGAAAAGGAAAAATCTTTTAATAAAAGATTTCAATTTTGTACTTTAAGTGCAGCAGAGTCAGATTCTTGAAGAATCCATTCAGGTAGATTTTAAATTTGATGTACTCTGAAATGTTTTAATATCGTATCTAACACGAGTCATGCACACCTTACCGAGAGGTTTCAATTTGAATATGCAGCTCTGACACCCAACCTAAGGTCAGGTGTGCCATTAAAGCCGAATAGATTTAAACAAGCGGAAGCTTTGGGGATTTCATCCCGCTTTTGCTCCCCAAAAGTTTCCAAATCCACACACACACACACACACACACACACTGATATATGTCTAATTTTTAAGCTCCTCTCACTTGAAATAAAACCTTCAAATTCAACAGTCTTTAATCAGCAGTTACTGACAAAAAGTGGACTTATGGTCTTGACTTCTGCTGCATTTCTTTTTGTTTTTTTAGTTTTACTGCAGGCGGCTGCTGGCGCTGACGCTGCTAACGGCTATCAGCGTTAAAATGTGCAATTTAAAGCAAAAAAACAAAAACAAAAAAACCCCACAACAAAACAAACATGATCTGTTATATCTGAGTATAATTTCTAACTTTATAATGCCTGGATCCCATTTGTCAGGTTCAGGAAACGCGCGTGTGTGTGTGTGTGTGTGTGTTTGGCATAAATACAGTTATATGGTTATTCTCCTATTTGCAACCACAACAAGATGTCTTACAGCATGCAGATGGAGTTTATCCAAGAAACAAAAAGCTGAAATCTGAAGAAATAAAGAAAAAACAAGACAGAAGAAAAAACAGAGAAGTTGTGAAAGCGACAGAAAGAAAGAGGACAAAAAGCACCGTGAGTGTGTAAAGTGTGATATACCACAAAAGATAGAACGGACAGAGCCTGGGCGCTCTCCCGGCAGATCCGCCCGGTTTGTGTGGCACTTAACATCGTCGTCTTTGTATACAGAGCTTTTAACAGTCATGCAAAGGGCACAGTTTTATTCTAACAAGGCGAGAGAGAGAGACAGAGAGAGAGAGAGACAGAAGAAGAAAAGACAAAGAAACGGGGAGGCACAACAACATTTCCTCCAGACAAAACAAGCGCTGAGCGGTAACTGAATTCTTGTCCTGATGCGGTAAAGCTCCCCCGACCCACCGTGAAAAACGCCCCCCCTGTACATACAGACGTGTGGGAAATTCCTCACAGCTAAGGTGGACACTTTCCTCCTCCAGCTGATGAGACAGGAAATCCTAATTCTCACCTTTAAAATATCTTAAGACTCTTTAGGCCATATATTTATATCTGTCTTTATAGGTATACATTTGCATTCGGGCCTTGTGTGTGTTAATTAAAATACAGCGTTTGATAAAACATAGGTCCTCACTGACTGATGGCTTGTTGCCTGCAGACCCTCTGGCTGATTCGGGGATTTCGTTGCATAAATCAGGTTGTTAAATTTGGATTTTTTTTCTAAATAGAAGAAAAAAGGTAGACTGCATCCCCTGTAACACTGCGGCGAGTATTAGAAAACTCCTCCGATCAACGATCCTCAGATGTAACCCTCTGTTGTTTGTGCAATGAAGGCAGAGAAAAGAGCAGCTAGTCTGTGACCATCATTCAACTGGACATTAAAGGTCTTGAATAGTAATAGCCAGAGCCAACTCCCCCCAACACCTGTTGTTTGAGACACACAGGTAGAAAAAAAATGCTTAACTTGGCTTAAAACACACAAACACCCCTGTAAGCTGTGATGTGACCCCGCCCTCCCCTCACCTGTCCGCACCTCCGAGAGAGAACGAGAGAAAAAGAAAGCAAAACAGAGGATTTGATTGATTGATTCCTGACGCCATTCCTGAGCAAAGTGGACTTGACGAGTGAGACCCAAGGAATCCAGGAGATGTGGACATCGGCAGAGGAG